TTGTAGATCTAGCACAGTCAATGCACACTTAATGCTTAAAAAAGAAGATACACAAATATGCAGATACTAGATACACAGATACATTTGGCTGTGACAAGGCCGCGTGCTTTGTGCTTGTCTGCAAAGTTTTCACAAAAATAGACAAATCTCTGACTAATTTGAAGCGCATACAAAGTTGCATTTTAGCCAGAAATAAGTCTTGGGCTGTCTTCCTACTCTCTGCCTGTCTCGCTCTCTCACTCTGTCGTTCCCTCTCTCTTTCGCTCTGTCTCTATGTGGGCTTTTCCCCACCTTTCGCCTGCTGCATTGTTTATGACACTTTGCTGCCTTATTTTTCCGCAGTCAAAGACATTTTTGTGGCGCTGACGCGTCGCCGACTTTTTCCTCCAAGTTTCACTGAGTTTTCTTTTCGTCAGCATTTCCCAGCTTGTTATTAATGTTGCCTTGTTGTTGCCTCGGTGTGGGTCGCATCTGTTTACACAGACTGATTAACACGTCTCGTTGTTGTTGCAGCACACGCTCTGTTATCAACCCAACTGACTGAGCGACTGTCACCTGACAGTGGGTGAAAATGCCAATGAATTTCATTTTAATTGCGACTTCTTCTTTCCCCTACCTACTGATAAGCCAGGTCCCGAACTGTGCACAGCATTCAATCATATGTCAAGTGTCTCTCAACTTGGTACAAGCACATCTAATGCAATTAGCGGTTCCTTCTAAAGCCTTCTCTGACAGCTCTTAAATGCATATAGCTTGTGATCTTTAAGATCAAATAAATTCTCTCTAGTCATAGCAACTATGCTTATGTTACTTATCTTTAGCTTTGCACTTACCTTAATACCAAATTTATACCATGTGTGAAATCCTTTCTTAGGCTCTTTTTATCCAAAATGTTTATTGATACCATTTAAAAAGTGTTCTTCAATCTTTCTTTATTTTCAAACACTTTCGAATCTCTAACGCAGGTGAGCAACTTACGCAGACTGATTTAATCCTATGTCAGGAATATAATGTATATTATAGTAGGAATATATAGGAAATAAATGTATATATATATGTATAAAAAATTAATTTTAAAATTCATTCCACCTATATTCAACTCTTTTGAAAGAAATATTTCAAATAATTGAAGCTTTCTAGTTCCTAAAAAAGGCTGAGCTTTGAACGAACATTTTAAATATGCAAAAAGTGGTTATATATGGAACTAGTTTTTGTTGGAATGTGAGCTTTAGATGATAATAGAACTGGTTCAGCTGAACTGAACCACTTCTGGTTTATTCTTCGCAACAGGTTTCCTTTATGGATATGCTGTAGAAAACCTATTTAGGACTCTGATTCTTTTTGTTCACACAAGTGACTTCTGATTCTGTAAATTTGTATCTCAAGTCTTTTTGGATGCGCTAAATTTTTGTTATTTTGTCATAAATTACTTGTTTTCTTGCCTTTTGCTGGCTGTTTACTTCCGCTCAGCTGAAATGCACTCAAATGCACCTTCAATATTTGCACAACTAATTTGCACCCCAGTTTTGGTTTTTTTTTTTTTTATTTTTTAATCTGCACTGAAAATAGCTACGAAGGGTATAATGAACTTGTGCGAGTGTATGCAACAGGATGAGCTGAAGCATCTCGAGAACTATAAGTCCTTCAGAATTATAATTTTGAACATAAGTGCTTCTATTACTCGCTCAGATGAAGTTTGCATTAAAACAGCGATAAATTACCTCGCCGCAGGATATCTGTTAGACGCTCAAATTAAATTTCTTGCTGGGTGCAGTGTATCTGCTAGTCGAAGGCATCTGTTTGAACCTGGGTGCACCTATCATCCGTACAGATTAAGTTTGTCTCAATTCATTGATAGCTGGCTCCGTGTAGGGTATCTCATAGTCGAGCTGCCCCCCACTAAAGCGCTCTTACTTGACTCATATTTATTTTTTGTTTTATCTGCATAATGGATATTTAACTGTTCGGCTCTGTGATGTAATGTGTGTTGACGACTCTCTCGCCCCTCTCGACTCTCCAGTTTCGGCTAGCTTCATAGTATATATGGCTTTATAGCTGACCCAGTTGCAATGACACTTTCAAATGTGGCGGTGCAATAAAATGCTTGACTATTGAAGTATATTTAAGTATTAAATGCATTTTGTGGCTTTCTCGTGACATTTTTTGCATAGTTCATAAAGATCTCATGTGGAGAAAGTGCGTAGAACAGCAACAACAACAAAAAGAGGCAAGGAGAGGAAAAAAAAAGCTGGCAACTGTGTCAATTAATATGCTAAATTATACACATACAAGTCGCAGACGCCAAACTGATGGCCCACTTGGCCGCTGCCAATCAATTGCAAAAAAAAAAAAAAAAAGCTAGGAAAAAAAACAGAGAGCGAGGCGCAAAAAAAAAACTAGGAAGCATAATTCCCAGCTAACTAATTACCACACAATGTGACGTGAAAGTTCGTGAAACTGGGCAAAAAAAAAAAAAGAAAAAGATATATATACATAAAAAAAAAATAAGAGAAGAAAGCGCTTTATATTTATGAACTTCCTCTCGGCTAATGTCAACAAGTGTTTGCCGCCAAGTGGCAAGCAATCCCCTGCTCGCCCCTCCCTGTAACCCACCCTCCCTAGACGGCTCGATTCAATTACGTAGCGCTTATATAATGTAATCTAGTGTAATCTTTTGCGATGTTAGCCAAAGTTGGTCAACTCTGAAAGTAGTTGGTTGACTTTTCTCAGTTCTATTGCCTGCTGCTTTCTAAGTCACCTTTCAAATTCAATTTAGAGATAGAGAAAACCAACAACAACAACAGAGAAACACCCACACAGAACAGCCAAGAACTGGAATTGATATAAATATGTTTGTATATGTATATATGTTTGTGAGCTGGTTATGTGCATGCATAAATTACGTATACGACTCGTGGCCAAGTTAACGCGCTTGGCCTAACTGTTGCCCCGCCTGCCACAAGCAGTTTGACGCTGACTTCAAAAACCTTGCACATTTCTCATGGCCAACATACCCTGTTAGCGGAAAAGTGGACTATTATAACAGCTGGGATACCCTGTAAGGGGCAGCTGAATGATATAAGTGATATGAAGTCCCTATAAATAGCATAAAATGTGGGATAATTACCAAATCCAAATTCCTCAATCTATTTTAGGCATAAAATGTGTGCTAATTTTCAAGTAGAGCCTATTTTTCTGTTCCAGGCTCAATTTTTGTTATTTTCAATATCATAAAAAACAAGCTTTGCTAATCAGCAAAGTTCTAAGGCAGACAATACTACAATTTATTAAGTAACTAGATGCTAAATTAGGTGCTTCTAACTTTTATGAAAGCCGAGTTCTTATAGAACGTTCATGCGATCGACTTGATGGACGGCCTTGGCCAGAACATGGGGCAAATGAAAGCTAATTAAGCATATTGATTTCGTACTCAACAAACGCTTAAACATCCTCAAGTAACCCGAGCTCAGGGTTTATGGAAAGAACCAAAATGCAAAAAAGACACCAAAATGACGCCAAGAAACAAATTTGCATAGACGAGGCTACAAATTAAGTCGGTCATAAATAACAAATCAAAAAGAAATGACCAAAGCAAACAACAAAAGAATTGGGTCAGTAACACACGCCAAAAAGAAAGACCAAAAAAAAAAAAAAAAAGAATAAAAAAAAGCAAAACCCCAAAAAAAAAAACACGCAATTGAGCATGGTCATAGCTTTGAAACGAAAGACAAAGGCGAACGGCAAAAAAAAAAACGTATCGCATAATCAAAATATAACATACACTATATATATAAATATATATATATATATATATATATAGCAATATGTTCCTACATGTTCCGCATTTGTCAATTTGTTTAGGAAGTTCCACAGCGCAAACAAAATTAATTAAAGGCAGCTGAGAGCAAAAATATAGAATGGAAAAAAGGTACAACAAAATACAAAAAACAATTGACAAAAACATCAAATAAATTGCACAAAATTTTGATAGACAAAAACAAACAAAAAAATACTAAAAATATACAACTAATTGGTGACCCAATTCTTTTGTCAGCGCTCAACTATTTATATTTAAATTGTTTGCTTTCATTTCGAGTTATGTATAAAAATGTTGGAATTATTGAAACTCTGATAATACCAAAAAAAAAAAAAAAGAAAGAAAAGAGAATAACACTAATAATGCCAGCCAAATTATGCCAAAAATAGAAAAAAGGCCTAAAAATCTCAAAAAAAAAAAATAAAAGAAAAAACCTAAACAAAAGACGCTGCCAATGAACTCAGGCCCTTAACATGCACACACACACACATACACACACGCACATATGCGCGCACACACACACACACACGCACAGCTGGTCAGCTTGCGTAAAAAGGCGACTTGTTTAATATCGGTCAATGTATTCAAAAACATAAAATAAAAGAAATAAATAAATAAAAACGCGATAAGAATTTCAAAAATTCAGCTTTTGATTGCGTGCGCTGCTTAGCTGTGTGTGTGTGTGTGTGTGTGTGCGTGTGTTGTATGCAATGCCAAACTTTCACGTAATTTTTGCGTTTTTTTTTTTTTTGGTCTTCTTTTTTGTCTTTGCTCACCTTTTCTTGGTGCGTGTGTGCGAATTATATTATTTTTCGGGTCTGTTTTGCTGCTGCTGTAAAGAGTCAACAACCTTTTTCGTATACAAGAAGCGTCAGGCTTACGCGCCTCTCTCTATCTATCTCACTTACTCTCTATCCCGCCCGTCCCCTAAACCCTTTCATTAGGCGCAGTAGCTCCCTTTAAGCGCTAAAAGCAACAACTAGCAAGCTGTTTGTCAGTTTGACAGTCATTTGTTTGATGTTAGGAGTTGTTGATTTTATACCCTGTACGCATTGAATGTTGGCATAAAGGGTATTTTGGTTTTGGTAAGCCAAGTCCGTCTGACCAACAAACTGTGTGAACACATCCATCTTGTAAGGCCACGAAGGCTAGAGACTAGCAAACTAATTTAAAACAATTGAAATTTGCGCAATTTAATATTTTCCACATTTTTTATACTCCAATATTTTCACCTAAAGTATCAGATCGCGTTTAGCTTTTGCATTTTTATAACAAATTAACCAAAACAAATGTCAGAAGAGATTTAAAATATATTCCTTACTAATTGTCTCCACTTTCAACAATCGGCTAAACATGAAGCTAAAAGTTCCATTGTTGGTCGTTCTTTCGGTTCGATAATCCAGCAACTTCTGATAACATATCTTAAAAGCTTTACGTTTGGATAATTCTTGACATCTTCCAGAATGGGATGTTTGCCTTAAGCGAGAAACTTATTGAAATACATGTATAACATATATATCAACCCTTATGCCTACCAATGCCAATTTGATACAAAATGGCGAAGGGTTCGCGATTTTGCAGATGATAGAAGGGCCTTTTTCGCGCCAACACCTCCCACAGCACAATGCCAAAGCTGAAAACATCACTTTTTTCCGTGTATACTTTGGAGCAGACAACCTAAACGATAATCCTTGTTTAATATATTCCTTGAGATTTCGAGTTAAACAAACCTCTGGCGCCATATAGCTGGCAGTTCCCACATTGCTGGTCATGACAGTAGCCAATTCGGTGACTGTACCAAAGTCGGCTATTTTTAATGTGCGATATCCGTTCGTCAATAACAAATTGTGTGGCTTAAGATCACGATGAATCACAGACCTTGGTTTCATGGCATGTAAATAGGCAATGCCCTGCAAAAAAAAAAACGGATCTTATTGTATTAGTCTTATTAACAGACGGGACATATTCTTAGAATGGGACCAAGTAAAGTAGCTTACACGTCCTGCCAGATCACTTTTCTCTCGTTTTACCTTGGCCAATTGATGCATCCATTTGAGTGCCAGCGTGTATATATAATTTGGCTTCTGTTCACCATTGTCATACAGATAATTGTGTAATGAGCCACAGTCTGCGTATTCCATCACCACCAAAGTTTTGCCCTCCTCATCTACCATGGTGCCATACAATTTTATAATATTTTCATGATTGACACGGGATAGATAACGCACTTCCCTCTCAATGCCCTGGTTGCCTTGGGTGTTATTAAAAAAATATCGTTTGACGGCCACTTGAGCGCCACGTAATGTTGCCTTGTAGACAGCGCCAAAAGAGCCCTGTCCCATGACCTGGAATTCAGAAATTTAATAAAGTTCTTCATATGGAAAAACCCTACCTCTCCCAGTTTCAAGTCAGGGTATTCCTTGAGAGCCTTGAAAATCGGTTTCTCTTCTGTTGCTTTACTTTCCTGCGTATATGTTACGACGCCATTTCTGTTGAGCAATTTTTAAATCCACCATATATATATATATAATATATACATATAATAATGCTAAAAGTACCTGATTTGAAGAAGGTCCCCTACAACATCTTTCATCATTGGCCGCCTATGTGGGTCATCCTGCGAACATCTGGCAATCAGGGATTTAACATTGCTAGAGCCGACATCATTTGGTAGACAGGTCAAAAGTTCACATATGTTTTTAAAAACAGGCCTCCTGCGTGTTAATACTTCCCATAGAATTACACCAAAGCCATAGATGTCGTACTTTTCGGTGTAACACCCTTTGTTCGACTCCAAAATATAGGTGTGTATTAGATCGAGTGATATTGTACAGAAATCTCGCGGCCTGTTTAGGCATGCCTCTGGTGGTGTATAACAGTTTGATATAAATTCCACTCCACTGGCCAAATCACCGATCTTTAAGCAGCTATAATTTTCAGTTAAAAACAAATTCTCGGGCTTCAGGTTACCATGGCATATCGGACTTGGCTTAAGGCCGTGAAGATATGCCAGACCCTGCAAAATGTGAATTATATGAGAGTACCTCATAACTGGCATATATTTGAGAATGGGACAAACCTTTGCCAACTGGATCATCCAATCATAAGCATTATTTCTAGTATATTTGCCAGATCCGTGTATATAGTTATGTAGCGATCCGCCGTCTGCGTATTCCATAAATACGGCAATTACTTTGCCTGGTAGCTTTTCGGAACCATGAGAATTCAGGATGTTCGGGTGCTTAATTGTATATAGCTGCTGGTATCTGATTTTGAGCCATTCATAATTCGCGTAAAAATAATAATAGATTTTAGCGGCAAAAACTTTGCGGTCCCTAGTTACTTTGTACGCTATTGTAAAGTTTCCTTTTCCGATTACCTTTAAGATTTATGTTTATTTGATCTCATTATGCTTTAAACAAAGTTCAATAATATTACCTCCGTAAGCTCAATATTTAAATGTCTTAAGTTCACAGTGTTAGACGTGGTTGTCATATATTGCCAGAATGGCAGGAAGAATTTATAGACACATAATATTTTAATAGCCTATACGGATGATAACTGATTGCCAATCAAGAATCGCGTTTTATTAGCTTGAGTGATAAGCTAGAAAGAAGGTAGAAGACACGCAGACGATCAAGTTCAATTGTTGATTTATGGGTTACATTTTTTCAGATAATTAGTTGAATGCAACTAACTAAATATTTCCCAAAAACAAACACACTTTTCAATCGCTGTCCAAATAATTGATACTTCTTTGATTCAATTATACTCACTTTTGTATAGAGTGTAAATATTTTAAGACAGAGAAAAAAACTGAACCTTACGATGGTGGAAATAGTAAGCTTAACGCGCAAAAGCGTTTCATAGACTACTGAAGGTGGTAAAATTCATTTGGCGAAATCGATTACAGCTTTTGTTATAAATTCACGCTGAAGGAGAGCGTGGAGGGGTGGGGGGGAAGGGGGTAGGGCATGTCGATTAAAAAGTGACCAAATCATTTTTATTTAAAAAGACCTGCGCAATTATCGATTGCTTGTTGAGAATGTGGCCAGAGCCAATCACAATTTAAAATAGTCCAATATTTATTTTCAATATGAAAGATTATTTTCTTAAACATTTTATTTGAAATGTTCTACAATTTCCATCATAGCAAGCGGAATAATTTATATTATATTTGCTGTTTTTCGCATGCATATGGCCGTTCCCATTAAATGTTCCAGTATATCATTTATCATAAAGCCTTGCCTTGCTATATACAGCCTTACGTATGCAACAATAAAGTTCCAACACTTTCTAAAAGAACGAACTCCAAACAGCAAAGTTTTTCAAGAATGTTTTTCGAATACTCTTTTGTATATATGTATGTGCATATAAACATATGACTACTGCTTGATACTGGGATTAGTATATTATCTACTCGGACAATTCGGATTAGTCCACTCTTATGCTATTTAAATTGTTATCTTTGCAATTGTTTTTTTTTTTTTTTTCATTCTTAACAGATTGTCTATTAATGCAAACTAAAATATGCAATGCACGTTATCGTGCATTAATCGGCTGTAAAAAAATATATGATGTTTTCTTATACCAAAAGTCAACGATTTTGAGGGAAGCCCATTCTATGGGTGCCTACGTGAGTTGTGTCACATCACCCACAAAAATATAAAAGCCAAGCGGAACTTAACAAATTTGTTGGTTGTCGACAAATGTCGATTACAAATTAAAAAGAAAGTAAGGAAATTAAGAGTTTTGGCTCTGGTTGATGCTAAAAATACATAAAAACTTTTCAATGAAATTTCGTTACTTTACTTTAGGCAGGCAATATACTTATATTTTTATGTTTGTTTCTTAGTTGTTGTTTTTTGTTTTTTATTTATTTTTTTTTTATTGACTTCAGTTTCTCCCACCAATTTAGCTTACGTTAAAGTTTGTTTTCTTTCACTTGATTTTTTGATTTTTTGCCGTCTTGCTTCTTTCTAAACTGTCACGTGTGATCAGAGCTCTTCAGTGTTTGTTGTTGTTGTTGTTGTTGTTTGTAGTTTGCATAAAAATAGGAAACATTTTAAATACTGCATATTTTGCAGTTATTTGGACAAGCGTGCCATCTGAGCCACGTTTCGATTTAATGGGTCAGCCCGGGGAATTCCATGACAAAATCATGACTGTGCCAAATGTTGACACTACAAACTGAAAGCTCACTCATTACATTTACAAGGTTATCGCAATTGAAATAAAAAAGAACACGAAAAATGGTTGTAGAAGATGTAAAAGAATATAAATATGATAATGAAAAAGTATAAAAGATACATATATACATGATATTTTGAATAGAAAATTTGCAACATTAGAAAATTGAGAACATGTTTAATGAAAAAAAAAAATGATTTTGTGTTTGTGGGCGGCATTTAATGTATATGCTTTATGCTAATTTGTGGCCATGCCCAATTCGAAAGTAGCTAAGCAAAAATAAACATAAACTTTAAACAACAAATTTCTATTTGATAGACGTCACTAATCAACGGTCCAGCGAAAGTGTTGCCAGTTCCCAATCTAAACATAAAATTTATAAACACAAAAAACTAAAGAAAAAAAAAAATATGAAAAAAAATGAATGCATGAACAAGTACAAGTAACTGAATCAAACGTAAATAGATCATATTCCAATTGTTGTTGCTCTTCCCTTCGAGAATAGAAGAACAAACACAAAAAAGACAAAAACTATCAAGTGGCAGCTATTCGAATTGAGCTCAATTATACAAAATATTGTGCTTTTTCTTTTATAAAGATATGCTAAAAAAAAACCTTTTAGATATTAATTTTAAAAGTAAAAAAGTTATGGATGAAATGAATTTCAAACTAATCCTAACTTATCTACAAAAATTGGTAAATTCCCCGGAATTCGCATTCGAAAGGGGGACATTCAAATTTATAAATATATCTATAAAAAAAAATGTTGAAAAACATGTTTTTAAATATAACTAGGGCTGCGCTAACGAAAGTGATAAAAAGATAACGAGAATGTTTCATTTCCAGTCGTTCCAGCGCTCGGTCCCTGGATTATTAGCCTTGCGACAAGGTTTAGTCTGTAAGGCTATTAAATCCTTGGCTTACATTTTATTTGTTTATTGAATATATTAAATACTATTTATTATTAAATAATTGGCTTCTCTATTGACGAAAGGTTGCCAATTCCACTTGTTTCAACTAACTATAAATACCCCAGTCTGGGGCACGTCTTGTAAATTTCTAAAACAAATAATCCAAAAATTATGATTTGCCTATTTAAAAAAGATTTGGCTTAATATTAATGCGTGCGGCCTGCACAAAATGTATTTGACTTGATCTGACATGGACTTCTTGTGGAATATCTTGGACATATTTGATGTCTATTTGAACTAACTGTAGCCTAGCATGTGGTATTTTTGATTGTTCCAGACATTTTGCCAGGCATATCAGACCCGGACATTGCAATTGTTGTTGTTATTTAGTCTCTTTTAATGTGGCTGATTTCTAGGCAGAGTTTCAGGCGGGCGGACGAACGGGCAGGCGAAATGTATGAGCTGCGTATCCATCAGATACTTTGCATGCGCATGCAACATGTATCTGTGGACGATGTGTGTGCGTGGTGTGTGTGCGTGTGTGTGTGTGCGTATGCTTTGTTTGACGTTGTCTCTTGCTGACTGCATTGACCCCCGCTTGGGGCCTGTGCCTGACGTCGTTGTTTGTTGTTGTTATTGTTGCTGTCTCATATGCACGCACATTGCGGTTCATTGCACTCTCTATTTACATTGGCTTCCCATTTCAAAAAATTATAATATTTTTTTTTTTTTTTTGTATATTTTGAAATATTTTTTTGTTATATTTTTCCTCTGTGTGGATGCTGCATTGTACTGGTTTATATATATTTGATAGTTTTTCTAGTTCATTCCAAATCTTTCTTTTTATTTTATTGTGGAAGATCAAGATAGAGGCTTGGTATAGATGGCCGACTAATTGATGTGCTTCTGTATGAGACCTTGACCCCTTTCGGCTCTGATCGATGATCATTTTAGCTGCATCAAGAGATCTGTCAAGAGTGGGCTATGGCATACCTGTAGGTCATCCTTGACTTTGCATAATGTAATGCTAACTGGGCTGATATCAATTGTTTAAGTTAACCACGAAGATGCTAATATGAGTGCTAATGAGAGAACGAGAGAGAGTCTTATACCTAACTGTCAAAATACATAAGATTTGATCCAAATAAAACCCTGTTCCATTCAAAAAACCATCTGAAACTTAGCAATTTTTATTAAAGAATCTTCCCTGCGAGTTGCGCAGTAAAGAAATGCAGCATTTATAGGCGGGATGGGCAGGTCATACGCGCGGAGGCTTACAGTAAAAAGAAAATATTTAAATAAATTTGATAGGTACACAGCAACAACAATAAGAACAACAACGAGAGAGAAAGAATCAGCAAGAGCGGGAGAAAGGGGCCAGATCAGAGGCTATTGACTCGGTTCGGTTTGCATATGTATTTGTGCATGTTGTAGGAGGAGCACGAAACAGAAGCATTGACCGAGAGTTGGGCAAAAGGAAAACAGAGAGAACAGAACAACACAGAGAGTGCGTACGCCTCACAGAGCGAGCGAGAGAGAGAGAGAGAGAGTGAGAGAGCGAGCGGGCAAACGCGTGTGATAATGCGACGCGACGCGACGCGTCGTCCGTCACACACATGTGATATCGGCGATAAGAGTTGACAGTGGAGAATCGACCGTTGTATTGTGTTGCTCTCGCATTAAGAAACAAACATATGCACGCACTCACACACACACACACACACACCCGCACACACACACACATACGTACACCGACCAAATGAATGTGTGCCTTACACTGATTTTACTTTTGCTTGGGGAGGGGTGCATTGACTTTTGTTTCTTTATACCCTGCAGTCGTCAATTGCATGAATGGGGTATAATAAAGTATAAAACATTATTTTGATAAAAGACAGCATTGAGTACTTTAAAACGGGCATGCTATATATAGTCATACACATAATACCCATTTATTGTAAGTTGCACTTTAGGTTTCATATATTTCTTTATGTGATGGGACAAATTTTAAATTAATTTGTTTTGTTTTTAATCATATTGAAACAAATATTACAATTTTCTTTGATATATATTACAGGTCATAAAATATTATTTAGTTATAAAAGTAAAATTGAAAAAAGAATGCATTTAAAATTATAGACAAAAATAGAAACAATTTATTGAGATAAAATACTCTTTGGCAATAAATAAAAAGTATTGGCAATAATCGGACATCTCCCCACAACCGGTTTCCAGTTTCCACCCGATTTAAATAAAATATTGGAAATGTAGAAAAAATTCAATACAGTTGAGTTAATTTATTTGTATATTATTTTGTTGCATACTTTTAGGCCCCGCAATATTCAATGACATATTACAGGGTATTTGAAAGGCAGGTGTCTTTTAAAATTCCTTACATTTTATATATTTTGTGTACGGTTTATTTTTGCATAATTTATTTTCTGAGTTTGTTAAACTCTCATCAATTCTTTGATAACTGCGGATTTAACAGTCTTTAAATTGGGGAAACACATTTTGATTGACTTATTCAAAATAATTGTAAATAAATAAAATTGGCCAGTTGTTTGATTTATGTCAAAAGTAATTTAATTTTGATTGGCTTCGCAAGAAAATAAATAATTAAAATATTTATAAATAAATATTAATAATAATATATAAGTTATTTAAAGAAATTATTTGATTTAAATAAAATAATTTTGATGTAAAATGTCGTTAATTGATCTTTGAATATTTATTTGATATATCTTTATCATAATCTTTATCGCAATTATATTAATTTATATTTAATTTCCTTTGGTTTTGCAGTGTGGCTCAGACAACTTCGTTGACATTTCCCTTTATAAACGCTGCAAAGCAACAACAGCAGCCAATTGCACAGCAACACCAGCAGCAGCAACAGCAACAACAAGTACAACAACAACAACAGCAGCAACAACCAACAATACAGTTGACATTTCAGAACTTAAACGTGTTGCAAAACGAACGCAAAATACTTTCCGATGTGAGTGGATTAGTCAGGTAACAACAAACAAACAACAACAAACAATCAACAAACAAACAACAATAAAACGCATTCTCAAGTGACAACTAACAAATATATTCCTTTCTCTCTCACTATGTCTTGCTCTCATCCCTCTCTCCCCCCTCTCGCTGTCTCTTTCTGCGCAGTCCCGGCGAGGTGCTGGCCATCATGGGACCCTCGGGCAGCGGCAAAACAACGCTTCTGGACTGCCTCAGCGGGCAGCGGCACTTTGACAGCGGCAGCGTCTATCTGAATCGCGAGCCGCTCTCGAAACGCTGGCGCCGCAAAATTGGCTATGTGCTGCAGGAGGAGATCTTCTTCACGCAGCTCACGTTGCGCGAGACCGTCATGTATACGGCGCTGCTGCGGCTGCCCGAGTCGATGCCGCGCGCCGAGAAGCTGCGTCTGGTCGATCACATACTGGACACCCTGGAGCTCAGCTGCTGTCAGCAGACCAAGTTTGGCGATTATCTCAATCGTGGGCTCTCCGGCGGCGAGAAGAAACGCGCCAATATCGCCTGCGAACTGTTGACCAATCCGTTGCTCATGCTGCTTGATGTGAGTACATAGAAAATAGGCAGAGAGAGAAAGATATATTTTAATAAAGCTGAGCTTAGACTAGATCCTCCGAATTTGAGTAGTCTGAAATCAGCATAATTATAGCTGTCTCTCTTCGTCTTTATTACTGATTAAAATCTCAGAAATATAAGAGGTGTCATAATTATAACTCAGCTTAATTATATCTCTCTATTATTCATATCTAAAATTTAAAATCTTTAAGAATCAGAGATATATAAAGAGAGTGAAAGAGAGAGAGAGAGAGAGATATTACACTTGAGCTGAGTTCAGACTAGTTGCTCAGAAATGAACTAGTCTAAACTCAGCTTAATAATAGCTCTCTCTCTATATTCGTCTTCTCTACAGTTAAAGGTCTCTAAAAAATCTCAGAGTTTTGTCAAAATGCTGGCTCAGAAATCAGACAGAACCTTGTCAAAGCTGGTATCAATTGCAGCCAATACGAAAAGAGCCTTTTTTATTGTAAATTTAATGGTTAAAGTTTTATTTTATTTTATTTTTTACATATTTTGTATTGTTTTATTTATGTTTTTGCAAAGTTAATTTCTTTATTAAATTTTTTCCATTTGTTTTTATTTTTTTGTAATTTCCAGGAACCCACCTCGGGGCTGGACAGCCACTCGGCCATATCGCTGATGAAGGTGCTGAAGCGCTACGCACAGCTGGAGCAGAAGACAATTGTGATAAGCGTGCATCAGCCGTCGTCGCAGATGTTTCACATGTTTGATAAGCTGCTGCTGCTGCATCAGGGACGCACCGCCTACTTTGGCGAGGTGAACAACATCTACAGACACTTTGAGGATATTGGGGTGACCATCAAGCCGCATTACAATCCCGCCGACTTTGTGTGTAAGTTGTAAATTGAACTCAAATCGCAGCTGAACACATTGTTAAGACCCTGACGCAACATTGCTTTGCAGTGGAGCAGCTGAAATCGCATCCGGATATTCGCGAGAAGCTGTTTATAGCCGCCAGGGAATCTCATGGCAACTATTTGAATCGCAATTGCATTAGCAGCCAGGACAAGGCCAAGCAACAGCACGACACCATACTGATCAACGACATCATTAACAACTACTACAACCAACGACATCACCAGCATCATCACCATCATCAATATGCTAATTTACATCACACGGCGAATGGCTGCGAGGCCGATGAAGAGGCTGCTCAACATTTGGTCTGGTGCGGCGCCGATTCGCAATCAAATTTCAGTTCCTGTGCCTCCAGTGATTGCCAGTCGTATCGTGCCGGCAAGAGTTCCGCCAACGACGAGGATTGGCTCTCCTATCCAACACGCTTCCATACACAGTTCACTGTGCTGTCCAGCCGCAACTTTAAGGAGGCCAAGCCACGTATGCTGTCCAAATTGAATTGGTTCCAAACAATTGGCCTGGCGCTGATGGCGGGCGCCATTTGGTTCCAGCTGCCGCGCACCGAGGAGTTCCTCCATGACCTGCAGGGCTGGATGTTCTTCTCGCAAACCTATTGGATGCTCTTTGCGCTCTTCGGTGCGCTTAATTCATGTAAGTGAGAGCAGAGAAGCCAAATGTTAGGTTTAATACTGTACGATTTAAGTGCGTTGCAAGATAACTAAGCCTAAAATTGAATGTGCTTTTCGTTGTTTTAGTTCCTTCGGAACGTGAGGTCATCAGCAAGGAGCGTCGCTCTGGTGCCTATCGCCTCTCTGCCTACTACCTGGCCAAAATGTGCGCAGAGCTGCCGCTGGTGATAACGTTGCCCACTGTCTACCTCATGATCAGCTATCCCATGCTGGGTTGTAGCAGGTAAGGAGCCGAGACACCACCCATTTGTTCATGCCTCATTTGACTTAATACTGTTGCCACTCGTAGCCTGAAGCTCTTCTTTCTGATGCTCATATTCTTGCTGCTGAATACGATTGTGGCGCAAAGCGTTGGCTTCTTCATTGGCGCCTGTTGCATGGACATGAATGTGAGCATTACGCTCAGTGCACTCTATACGCTTGCCACACAGCTCTTTGGCGGTTATTTATCGTCACGCATTCCGGAAGGTCTCAGCTGGATACGCTACACATCGATGATACACTATGCATACCAGAATATGCAAATACTCGAGTTTCGCGAGGGACCAGCTATTAGGTAAGCCTGCCAATTGTTGAATTGAATTGTAATCCCCATTACCATATCGTTTCTTTGCCCGATACAGCTGTGGATCGTCGAGCAGCTATGAGATATGCAAACAACAGACAACCGAATTCATTCCATATGAGGAAATACTCAAAGCACAAAACTCCACATCGCCACTCTGGCTGAATACGCTCATACTAATGATGTTCTTTCTGGTATTTCGCGGCCTGGGCTATGCGGTGTTGCGCTATCTGCGCTGCCCCAAAAAGACGTGATAAACCTGACAACGAACCAGTGATACGTAATTAGTGTAGCATGTGTAAATCCTATATTAAATCCACCAAACTAATTAATATCCCTACATGTTGAACAAATTTCGAAACGTGCGCCCAATTTTGTGATTCAATATTCAAAAAGCCACATTTATTATATTATATTATAATATCTACTATATTTAGTTTATTTATAAACAATTTATCTATATATACTTTTATGTATATGGCAAACGGCAGGCGCTATACCCAAAATTTGTTGTTTGTTGCATATTGTAAACAGCAATTTTTGTTTTTGTTTTATGCATTTTAATTGTTAGCCATTTATCCTAAATCTTATTATTATTATTATTATCATATTATTATCATTATTATGTTGCTGCTAAAGAAAATGTTTGTTTTGCATATGCGAAAAATATGTTTTAATGTACGTTTTAAATCCAAAAGTAATGCAAATTCAACAGCCCATATTATAATTCTATATATTCTTATTATAATCGCATATCGCACATATTGTACTACATATATATATATATATATATATATATATATGTATATTGAATATGCTAGAAACTTTTGTAGATTTTTGCAAATTTTTTCACTTGGGAAAAAACACTGTGATTTAGTATGCTAGTTTTTTAATTAGTTTTAAGTTGGCTGCCTAAAACCATGTAAAGCACACACATCAACAAATTGTATAAACATTATTAGTATGTTTACAATAACTAATTATATGTAATTAAATTTATTTAATGTAACATACATGAAAAATATGCCGAAAAATAACGTACGCATTTCAATTTGAATTATGTAACTTATCGATAAAGCTTGCGATAGGCACAGCTCGTGCGTGAGTACAAGTTGTTCACGATCGATAGCAAATGGCAAATGCTCACGTTAAACAATTTATCAATGCTTGTGCAACTGAACAAAGTATTTTAAGCTTAATCCTCAAGCATTGATTTGCCTTTGGTCTCTTTTAAAAATAGTAAGAAAAATATAAAGCAACCTGCGGTAATGCCAGCACACGACCACAACGTGGCCGGCAGACCCCAATTTGCCATGCAAAGCGGAAAAATGTTGAGCATTAGAAATACCAACGAGCTGCATATAACAATTGCTATGGATGTTGCTCTGGCGCGTATCTGAAAAGAAAATAATGTATAATTTAAATTTAAGTTAAAATCGAATACAATAAGAATACCAACCTTGAGTGGAAACATCTCGACCATCAGCACAAACAGGCAGCTAATCAAACCAATATTGCCCAGAAATATGTCCAGCGACATAATGGCCACTGGCACCCAGCTCCACTCGGTCATATCGTAAAATCCTGCATAGTACGTGAAGAAACCAAACACTGTCAGACATAGTGCCACGCCCGCTGATGAGATCAGCATCAGAATTTTACGACCAAAGACATCGCACACAATTGTGCTCACATAGGCGCCAAGAATTTGCACTGAACCAATGATAATCGAGCTGGTATTGGGATCCATTTTGCTGCCCGACTGAGCGAACACGTCCGACATGTAGTTGACCATGGCAAAGAGGGCGCTAAACTGATTCGCAATGATTATTACCGCCGCCATGCCATAGCCCTTAAGAGCGGCTCGCGTAACTGTGGAAATAGGAAATTAATTAATTGATGCAAGTGAAACGCAAGTTTTTCACTTACAAAAGTCTTTCAGGCAGAGCGTATCCGGCATATTATCATCCTTGGTAAGCGTCAATCTCATGTTATCAAATTCGTTTGCAGCGCGTGTCTGTTCGATTGAACTGTCGCTAATTTTTATATTCTTATAGTACATGAAGGACTTCTTGGCTGCTTCCAGCTTGCCCTTACGTATGAGATGCATAGGCGAGTCCCGAATGAATAATAAAACCAATATGAAGTAGCTAAGCGGACCAATTAGCACTACGAAGGGTATGATATGATAGGCCAAATGTGTGCCCAAAATGTAGCCTAGAAGTATGCCAATATTCACCGACAGCATCACCATCGATGCCAGAGTTCCTCGAATGCTGTAAATGACAGATAGTAAACAGCATTAATCATAGTTCTCGGCTCTTCTAGAATTCATAAAGCGTCCAAATGATTCAGACTTTGAACCACAAGAAAAGTTATTCAAATATTAAATGCTATCTTTATAGCTGCGAGATTTCTCACTTAGTTATCTGTCACGAACTTGCTACTCACTTTGGATCGGAAATTTCACTTAGAAACAATGGATGTATTAAATAAATGCCGCCGCCTGTAATACCAGCCAAGAAACGACCGACGATCAGAAATTCCACGCTCTGAGCAAAGTAGACCAGAACCCAAAGACACTGAAAGAACTCTTGGGATTATGTAACTGTTGCAAATCAAATATCAAGTCAAATACCGTATGTGGCAGAGCCATGAACAGCAGACACATTTTGCCACCAATGCGATGCATGAAAAGGCCACTCAATATGTTGCCCGTCACTGAGCCCAAGCCCAGGGCCGAGCCCACCCAAGAGACTTCATTGACGCCCAATGGCACACCAAGGGGCGAGTCCAAGGTTTGCAGCTTCCGCAACGTGGGCGAGACCCAGCCAACGCCAATGCCATGTGATATGCATATAATATTTACTGGAAGAGTTTCAAGATTGAGAGCTGTTCACAAGAGTATTACAAATCATATTCAATATCTCACTAAGCACTGTGGCGAGTAATTGATGGCGATTCCTTTGGTTCAGCAAGCAATTCGAACGCTCGAATAGATTCTTCAGCATTTTTCACTTTTTCTAGGCACTTTCTAGATGTTTCAGTCTATTCCATCTGCTCTTTTATGCGCTACTGAACTTTCGCTGCTGTGAAAATTGCCATTAGATATCTTACCTGAGCCTGCGACATCGTAAAGATAACTGCGTTAATCATTTAAGCGAACTACAAAGAAGACCCCCGTGCCGGATAAATTGCCACATCGTATTTCTTTGTGTAAGTACACTTCATGCTTCTCGGTATACGTTTATGTCTGAACAAACACAAGAAACTGGATATAAGTTGGGGGCGTGTTCAATATTGGCGCCCGAGCAGGGAAATATGTATTTAATAAATATGTAAATATGTATTGTGCAGCAAATATATGTATATCCTTTATAATGATTAATTTTTCTTCTATTCTCCTTTATTATAGGCTAAATGTCTGCAGCTATCATTATTCAAATCTAACAAGGGAACAGGGTAGCAGAGATAATATAAAACATTGTTAAGCTGATAAAAACTCAGAATGGCTAGGAATATGACTTAAGGTATGTAAAACACATTTAATTTTTCTTTTTTTATGGGCGCCGGTGCAGAGACTCGAAGCGTTATTTAAAAAATTCATTTTTTAATTTCTTAAAATTTATATAAAGTAAAATGTAAAAGTATATGATATTTTTGCTAGCGTCATGCTCAATCCTCAAGCATTGACTTGCCCTTGGTTTCCTTTAGGAAGAAGATAAAGAATATGAAGCCGAGTGCTGTTATGCCCGCACAGGACCACATGGTGGCCGGCACGCCCCATCGGTCCATGCATAGGGGAAAAATGATGAGCATTATAAACACAAACAAGCTGCATATAGCAATTGATATTGAAGCAGCTCTCGCGCGTATCTGCGGGATAAAGAATGTCAGAGGGCGAAAATGAATGGGAAGAAAGTCTCCAACGACACACACCTTGACCGGAAACATCTCAACCAGTAGGACGAAGAAGCAGCCAACGAGTCCAATGTTGCCCAAAAATATGTACAGCGACATAAAGAACAGTGGGACCCAGCTCCATTCGCTCAAATCGTACCACTGTGCGTAGTAGGTGAAGAGGCCGAAGCAGGTCAGGCTGAAAGCTACGCCGGCTGAGGAGACCACCAGCAGAATTCGACGTCCCCAGATATCGCAGAGAACCGTTGTCGCACACGTACCCAGAATCTGGACAATGCCAATGATAATGGTACAGGTATCCGGATCCATGGAGCTGCCCGACAGTGCAAATATATCCGACATATAGTTGACCATGGCGTAAAGTCCACTAAATTGATTAACAATCAAAAGAACCACAGCTGAACAATATGCTTTGAGCGCAGGTCGAGTTACTATAGATGCATATATAAATAACGTAAGATCTATATATCGGAACGGATAAAATAGCTTACGGAAGTCCTTGAGGGTAACCTTATCCGAGTTCTTATCACTTTGGGTCAGTGTCTGCTTCATTTCCTCAAATTCTGTAAGTGCGCCCAGCTGATCGCTATCCTTAATGTTCTTATAGTATCTGAACGATTGCTCAGCCTCCTTGTACTTTCCCTTGCGTATGAGATGCATCGGTGAATCGCGTATGATAAGCAGCGTGGATATGAAGTAGATAATTGGAAAGATGAGCACTACGAATGGTACGATATGATAGGCCAGATGTGTGCCCAAAATGTAGCCTAGAAGTATGCCAACATTTACAGACAACATAAGCATGGCTCCGAGACTCCCTCGAATTCTGTAAGAGAGAGATTGTGAATAGACAAATTTACACTAGACAACAAAGTGAAGGAACATGCAAGCGATCATAGCAGAATATAGCAAAGCACACAGACGAGATTAATTATTAAAGTCAAAGCTGCTGTTGGCAGACCCATAAACGAGCTTAATATAATTTTTTATCGCCGCAGCTTAGCTGCTATCGCTGTAAAATCTTGACATATAATGTCTTCGTACACTCACTTGGCATCCGAAATTTCGCTTAGGAATATGGGATGTGAAATGTATATGCTGCCGCACGAGACTCCGGCCAAGAAGCGTCCAATAAATAGATACTCTGCGCCTTCAGCAAAGTAGACCAGAAGCCACAGGCACTGCATGAAGAATTTTAATTTTATATATTTTGAAGAGTATACTCATTTACTTACCGAGTGTGGTATGGCTACGAGGAGCAGACACAAACGGCTACCTATGCGCGGCAGTAGCAGACCCATCAGTGCATTACCCACAAGAGCGCCCAGGCCCACCGCAGAGCCCACCCAGGAGACTTCCGAGATGCTCAGCTGAAAATTAAGCGGCGATTCGTCGGATTGTAATTTGCGTA